GCAATGCGACCACTAATCAAATGCGGAACGGATTTGGCACTGTAAGGACCAAATCCGTTCCATGTGCTCCCGCGATCACTCCCGACCCCTTGGTTTCGGTCCAGCTGGAACAAATTTGGAAACACGTGGGCCAAATCCGTTCCGCGTGCTCGGACGACGACTTTCGGGCCAGCGCAGACGACCACGGGGCTAACTGCTTGCGGCCCAGGCGGGGGTTCTCACTGCGACGCTCGACTCCAGCAAGACAGACAACTACTCGTCCCAGAACTGGGGCTCCGGCAACATGCGAGGCGCATCCGATCCGCGTGCTCGAGCGATCACTTTCGGGCTCCATGCGACGCCCCCCGCGTGGAGCATCCCCTCGCCCTCCTGCTCGTCCGCCCCGCGCGCCGTCGCTCGGGCCTGACTGATGCCCGCGCAACTCTGGCGTCGCCCCTGGAAAATGGTTGCCTAGACAGGCCAGCCGCGCAATCGCGGCGAGCGAGATAGTCGCTGCTCGGCAGCGAGGCGGCTCGGCCCCGCCCTCGGCACGCGCCCCGCCCCTTCACCAATATACACAGGATCTTCGCTGTGCTAGTCGGCGATGTCGTCACCCCCCTGGCTGTGCGACGCGCGGCTGGCCGGGGCGTCGGCGTCGCCGCCCGCGCGCGTCTTCTTGCTCGGCCCGCTCGGCGACGAGATGTCGTCCAAGTCGATCTCAGCGTTCTCTGCGGACCGGCCCGAGAGGGGCCGCGCGAACGCACGCCTCTGCTGCGATGGAGGCGGCGAAAGCATCTCCCGCTTCACATTCGCGCCGGCGGCGGCAGAGCTGCTGGCCGAGCCGCTCCCAGACCACAGCTTCTTCTTGAAAAGCTCGAGTTCGTCTGCCTCCATCTGGGTTCTCGCGGCCAAAGGGGCGAGCTGTTCAGTCTTCTTCCAGCGCTTCAGGATCTGGAGGGCCTCGTCAGTGATGAACTTCGGCGTCTTGAGCTCGTAGCGCTCGATAGTGACCTCGTCGCCGACTCCGGCGGGGCGCGCAAAGAACGAGTGCTCCGTGTTCACATATACTTGGACGCGTCGCAATACGGCATCAATGTCAGGCTGACTCATTTCCACGTGGAACGCAGGCCGAATCATCTTGGTGAAGACCTTGTAGGTAATGCCCGCGTACCCGAAGCCCGCCGATTGCGGATGCCTCGCGGAAAACAGATTCCCCTGCTGGAGGGTTCTCCCCAGAGCCGTGTCTGCGAGTCTTGCGATCGCCGCTGGCCGACCGATCTGGCCCGCCGAGAGCCAGGGCTCACTTGCCAGCGACGATCGCAAGGGCACTCGACCAGGCTCCAGTAAGAGGGGCAGAGAGAATTGATTTCCGAAATGGCAATGCCGACCTCTGACCGTCGAGGGTGATGTGCGGCTCTGCCTCCAAGTCCACCTTGTTGTCCCCCGCGCTGCGGTGCTCCTTGCCGTCGAACTTGGTGCTCGAATACCTTTCCGCTGTCATCTGTGACTTTTTCTTCTTATCGAAGAAGGCCTTCATCTTTCTCGGAGGCATTCGGTCCAGATCGCCATCGTCGAACATGGTAGATATGTGCGGTTGACCAGCGTCCTCGCGGAAGTGGTCGAAGTCTGTGGACGAGCGAACGCCAGCAGTCGCGCCGACGAGGTCCAGCTCGAAGATGCGGTAGCGCGCCATGGCGAAACCGATGATGCACTGCACGCTGGACTTGCCGCTCCCGCCAATTCCGAGCCACAACTGCGCATCCTCGTCCCACTTGTCCATGTGCTTTTCGAGGATGGTCTGGAGCCATGGCTGGATGTGGCACCAGTATAGCGGATACTCCTCCTCGGGCGCAGCCTGAGCGTCCGCGTCCTTCAGGTCCTTGACGGCAGCGAGGACGCGGCCGACGTTCCAGCCGAAGATCTGAGATTCCTCCCTCTGCGTCTCTGTGTCGATCCAGCGGCGCATCATCAGCTTCCTCTTGACAAAGAAGTGCTTGTTCTTCTCGATGAAGTCGTAGCCGTCGGAGATCTGCTGCGCCGTTTCCATCTTGTCAGAGCGCTTGCCCGACTTCGTCTTGAAGGTATGGTACGTCACCTGGAAGCCGCCCATGCGCTGGAATAGGTAAATGAAAGCTGACGGCCCAGCCCTCTTGTTTGCTCCGAAATTCACCAAGATCGCGTCACCCTGGCACGCGCGCCGTGCAATTTCGAGAGTGGGCTTCCCGTCGAACACGAAGTGCTTGAACACCTCAACCTTGTTGTTCTCGGTTGGAAGCATGCACAGGTTCATGTGGTAGTTGAATGCTATCACGGACTTCGGGCTGAGAACGCTTGGGAGTTGGAGATACTCGTGGTTCTGCATCAGGCCCAGCACGGCGACCTTGTCGAATACGTCATCGACGTCCAAGCACACGTCGACGAGGTGCGTCACGGAAAGCGTGCCAGGCTTTGAGCGCGAAGTGAGCTCGTCCATGAGCGGCAGGTGCGCCGGCTGGATGGCCCGCCGCGGGCCGTCGTGGTGGTCGGGCTTCTTGATGGTTGTGCACACCAACGCGCCCGTCACCTTCACCGCCAGCTCGAAGGAGATCGGGCTGTCTTCTTCCTGCTCGTACTGCTGGGCCAGCGTCAAAGGCGCGCCCGAAGAGGACTGTGCGCCTGAGCTGGCGGCCATCCCGCGCCGACCTGGCGCGGCGGCGGGACAAGGCCAGGCCGCCTCGGGCTCGGCACCCCGACCAAGCTTGAGCCCAAATCTGAATAAGCATCGTTATAAAGTATGCGGCGCGCGTGCTTTAGGTGTTGGCATTCACGGTGCGCGCGTGACAATGTGAGTAACAGATACTACGTGCGCGTGTGTATATGTATATGTTTGCTTTAATGCAATGCCAGCCCGCGCTCTCTACAATGAGTCCACGATGTTCTCAGCCCGAGAAGCCCGCCTACTGGCTTCCGCCCGTTCCCGCTCGGCTCCCGCTAGGCTTTTCTGGCGCAGCACGTTTCCACAAGATCCAGCAAACGTTCCATTCGCGCTTGCATGACAGAGCAATTGATCATTGATAGATTTGGACAAACAGCGAAGCCACTTGGACCTGGACGCATGCAAGAGAACACAGAACAAAAAACAACAGACAAGAAAAGACAGCAAACACACACAAGCCACCTACACAAAGATACCACCCCCACGGGGGGGGGGGGGGCCAATGGCATCAGCATTGGGGGGGGGGCCCAAGCCCTGGACCATGTATAGGGACACCTCTCTCTCTGTATATATATATATATAAATGAATAAAGTGAAAGTGTCGCGCCGAGGCGTGGTGGGCCAGCGCCCGCGGCGCGACACGCTAACCAAAAGTTCCCGGCCGTAAGTCCCTGCTGGCAGGTCTTCGCGCTGCGGTGAGCGCCCCTCTGGAAGGCGGGCGCCCCGTGGGCCTTGGGCCTTGCCATGGAGGCATCGGTACGATTTTCGTCCTCCTAGGTCCAGCGAGGGCACCGCCTTGAGGCGGAGCCGCCCTCCTTCGGTGTCTCGATTACAAGTATAACCGGGCCTGGTCGCACACCGGCTATAGTCCGAGAGCGGTTGACCCGATCTGCCCGTTGTGGCAAGACGCCGCCGTCCATCCCTGTAGCTTCTGCCAGCTTCTGCAGCATCATGTGCACGGCGTTAGGTTCTCGTCTCCTGCTCCCCGTCCTGCGCTTTCTTCTCCTCCTCCTCCTCCTCCTCCTCCTCTTCCTCCTTGTTTCCCTCCTCCTTGGATGCGTCTCCCCGCAGATATCGGCACAACCATCACGCGCTTCCTGTCCCCATGGGGAGCTCCACTCATGGCCCCAACGGGTGCGTCCGCATGGCGCCGCCGCGCCCGTTTCGGCGCACCCGCACACGTTTAGTACCACATGGGGCGCTCCACTTAGGGCCCCGGAGGGTGCGTCCGCGTGGCGCCGTTGCGCCCCCACCTCGGCACACCTCTTGCACATTTTGCTCACGTGGCGTCCGCGCGCCCATTTCGGAGCGCCCCGCGGGCAGATCGTGTTCCCCCATGGAGCTCCACCTGCGGCACCTGTGGAAGTGTCCGCATGGCGTCTCCGCGCCCGTGCTGGCACCCCCCTCACGCGGATCGTGCCCAATCGGGCTTTTCTTCTGTGGTCCCAGCGGAGGTGCTCGCACGGCGTCCCCGCGCCGATTTTGGCAGACCCCTCGCGCAGACTGGGCTCCTCATACATCTATGGCCCCAGTGGAGGCGCCGCGCTCGTCTCGGCGAACCTCCACGCGGTTCGTGCGACGCAGAGAACTCCACCTGTGGTCACCCAAGGGTTGGGCCCATTCGCCAGGACAATTCGTTGAGGCTGCCTGTGCTTGCACAAACTGTCCTGATTGGAGTGGTCTGGTGATCTTGAAAACGAGACAGCGAGAAGGAGCGGAAGGAAGAGGATCAAGGAAAAGGATGAAGATTGGGTGTCCCAGAACCGTGCGGTGACGGACCGTGCGGTGACCTCGAGGTCCCCAGAGACCTCACCGCACAGTCCGTCACCGCGCGGTGCTTTGGATCCTGGAGGCTCGAGTTGCTTAAAAAAATCTGAGTCCCCAAATTCCGTGCGGCCCCAACAAACCCCGTCTGACTCACCACGCGGTATGGTTACCGCACGGTTTGGGGATCCTCAGCATGCAAGAAGCGGGCCCTGATATAATCCTGGACCCCAGGTCCGCCCCCCAAGACAAGCTATTCGTTCCGAGTCGTTCTCTGAAAGTCCTGGGGCCCGTGGAGGATCCGGAGCCCAAAAACGGCGCAAAGGCTCAGCTCCTCCTCCTCCTCCTCCTCCTCCTCCTCGCCCTCCCCCCTCCTCCTCCCTCCTCCCTCCTCCCTCCACCTCCTCCCTCCTCCCTCCTCCTCCTCCTCTCCTCCTCCTCCTCCTCCTCCTCCTCCTCCTCCTCCTCCTCCTCCTCACGCCCACCACCTCTCGTGCGGACCCGTTTCCCTCAGGACCCGTTTCCTTCGCGAGACGACGACGCGCGTGACGACGACGCCGGCCTGGCCCGGCGGGCAGGACTGCGCGCGTCGGCCGCACGGCTCCTGCGACGGCGACCGCTCCTCCTTGCGCGGGGATGCCACCAACGGTACTCGGACGCCAAGTCTGGCCACGCCGAAGGAGGAGGACGTGGTCGTCGTCGGGGGGAGAAGGAATGGGTGAAGTCAGAGAGGTCGGAGGAGGAGGACGAGGAGGAGGAGGAGGAGGAGGAGGAGGAGGAAGAGGAGGAGGAGGCAAGGACTGCTAGGTTTGCATTGGGATGTCTCTGGGCTACTGAAGGGGATCTTCGGGGTGAGGGCGAATATAGATAATGATGATTGTGGTGGTGGTGGTGGTGGTGGTGATGATGATGATGATGATGATGATGATGATGATGATGATGATGATGATGGTGGTGATGATGATAGTGATGATGAGGAAATCGCGACGATAACGAAGACGATGGGACCGAGGAGGAAGAGGATAATCATCCGGTTATTGGCGATCTTTTGCAAATTCCTGCAATGTTTCTGGGGCTTTCAGACATTCCTTCGGAATCGTTATTCATGAGCCTCAGGGAGGATGATGATGAGGAGGATGATGATGCTGCTACTGGTAATGATGATGATGATGATGATGATGCTGATGCTGATGATGATGATGATGATGATGATGATGATGATGATGATGAGGTGATGCTGATGCTGATGCTGATGCAGATGCTGATGCAGATGCTGATGCAGATGCTGCTGCTGATGGTAATGTTAATGATAATGATGCTGATGATACTGATGATGATGCTGCTGCTGATGATTATGATGATGCTGATAGTGATGATGATGATGATGATGATGATGATGATGATGATGATGATGATGATGATGAGGATGAGGATGATGATGGTGGTGCTGATCATGGTGATGATGATGATGATGATGATGATGAGGAGGAGGAGGAGGAGGAGGAGGAGGAAGAAGAGGACCAGAAAGATGGGGAGAAGACACGTGGAAGGAGGCAGGGAGGAAGGAGGGGGAGAAAGAGGAGGGAGGAGAAGCGAGGATCGTGGGGGGGGAGAGTGGGGAGGCCTGGGGCAGGGAGGCTGGGGGGCGGAGGGGGAGGAGGACGACGACGAGGAGACCACAGAGGATGAGGAATCTGATAGATGCGAGACTGGAGAGGAGGATGGGGAAGGGGGGAGGCGGAGGAGGGCTCAGGGCTTGTGTCGGTGTGAAGTTGGCAGCTCCAACCTTGAAGTCGATGAAGGTGTTCCGCACGCAGATGGGCGGGACCTTGACAGCACACCGAACAAGATGGATGATGACGTGAGGAGGAAGGAAAAGACCAAGACCTCCCCAAACTACTGGCGACTCGAACAAAAACATCGCCAAATGATTTTCCGTGACGTTCGGTCTAGCTCCTGCCCCAGACCCCCGACGTCGTGACTCTTTCACATCGTCGACCCCGAGAAGTCTGGACCGCTTCCCCAGGACCGGTTCTTCATCCTGACTCGTTTTCTGACGGTTCCGAGGCCTGGTAAGGGCCCCCTGAGGCCGAAGATCGTGAAAAACCTCCAGCCGTGCTTTTCGTGTCACAGCGCGAGGGGGTCTGGGGCAGCCTCGTGCAGCGCTGGCATGCGCGGGTCTCGGGGGCCAAGCCGAGGCCCCCAGACCCCTCCCGGGATCCACCCCGGCAGGATTTTCGAGCTGTACCCAGCCGTGGCCACGAGGGCGCCCCTGGAGACCTCCCAAAGAGCCTCGAAGCGATCGAAAACATTAGCTCCCGATCGCTCGGTCCTCCCAGAGATCGATGTTACGACTTTTGGCGCAGAGGTCGCTCATTGCCCGAGGGGTGGGGCCGGGGCTCCGGGGAGCGGTGGCGCTTGGGCGGCGTGGGGTACGTCGGGGCGGGTGTGCGCTGCGATCGCCAGGGTATGCGCGTGATCGCCAACATGTGGGGGAGCCCTCTCTGGCTCCACGTTCTCGCACACGTTGAACTACTCTGGAAGGCTACGGAGGAGGTTGTCACTTACGGATTCGAGCCCGCTGCCTCTACGACACGCTCCGCCGCGAGAAGCCGGTGCTCCCCCAAAGCGATTGGTGCCCCGTTATGCTATAAGACCTGCCCGCCGTGACCTGCCTCAGCGCTGACTCGGAATTGGCCGCCCGCTGAGGTCAGGACGACCCTTGAACATGTGTTTCACATCACCTTGGAGCTGCTGGGTCTGAGCTGTGATGTCCAAGACACCCACCCCCACGTACGGTCTTGGACACCCACGTACGATCGTTGGCCGCCTCGATGTGCAGCACGCAGCCTGTAGCATGTTGAGACGAAGCCCAACACGCAGACTGAACACGTATGCATGGTGCTGCACGTTCGCCGAAGCGTGGGCCAACACATGCCGAACCAACGCTCAGCGTGTTCAACACGGACGTTTTGAACTTTGAGCACGGTGCGTGTTGCGCTTCAACACGGGCGTGCCAGTGCGGCTAGGCTCCTGGCCAACCGACGCTAACCGACGCTAGACATCGACGCTGAATCGGCGCCTCATCATCGATTAGCAGACCCTGGCGCACGCCAGCGCACCTCAGAGACGGCGTTCCGAGGACACACAAGGCTCCCATGGTTTGCTGCCGGACACCAGCACGTGTTTGGGGTGGGGGGGGGATCCAGCCCCCCCCCCCCACGTACGGTTGTGGTCGCCCCTCACCCCTTCTCGGGGCCCATTTCGATCCGATGGATCCGATTCGATGCCGAGTCTGGCCGACCCGATCCAATTCGATCTCGACTTCCCGACTTCTCGGCTGATCCGAATCGATTTCGACTCCGTGCCAGTGCAGCCCGATCCGACGGGCTTTTCGATTTGATCCGATTTCCTGAGTCGATGCTGGCTGATCATGACCCTCCTTGAAGAACGAGCAGCGCACACACCCATACCCATAAGAGGGGTCGGAAGGGGCTATGGGTGCGTGTTGTCGGATGGGGGTCCCGGCTAGAACGGGAGCCTCCTGAAGGGTCTGGCAACTCGCACCCATACCCGTCGGTCGGAAGAAGTGGGTAGAAACACGAAGCGGGAAGGCGTCGGAAGTAGATTGCTTTTCCGCCCGCCCCCTGAAGAAGAAGGAAGGGGGAAAACCACTCGACCCTTGAAGTGGGAAGGCGCTCGAAGTGGAGTGGGATCTGGGAAATACCTGCTTCCCAAAGAGAGAACTACGCCCTCGACCCTTCAAGTAGGAAGGCGCTGGAAGTATATTGGGATCTGGGACTCCAGGAATACCTACTTTCAACGACCATCGTGTACCCATTCCCAGACCCCCGACGTCATGACTTGTTCATGACGTCGACCCCGAGAGGTCTCGACTCATTGCCCAGGACCGGTTTTTCGTCCTGAATCGTTTTGTGAGGGTCCCGAGGCCCCGTAAGGGCCCCCAGAGGCCGGCAATAGCGAAAAACCTTCCGTCGTGATATGTCTCCATGACTCGAGGGGGGTATGGCTGGCCAGCCCTCTTCCCTCCGACCCCCCCTGCGGGCACGGGTGTGTGTCGTTCGCTCGTCACCTCCTGGCCTGCCCGAGCCTGGGGGGGGGGAGCGGCCGCCCCTCGCTGCGAAGGAGCGGAGGAGCAGGATCGAGGAGGAGGAGGAGGAGGAGGAGGAGGAGGAGGAGGAGGAGGAGGAGGAGGAGGAGGAGGAGGAGAGAGAGGGCAGCGGGGGGGATCGAGGGGAGGGGGAGGAGGATCGAGGGGGAGGGGGATCGAGGAGGGTTTGGGCTGGGTGGGGAGCGGCCGCTCCTCGCCGCGCCGATCGGGCGTTGGGGGGGGGGGGCGGTGGGGCGTCGCTTAAAGGGGCTGGGGGGGCGATAACTGGGGGGGAGGAGGGCGCGGCAAAAAAGGGTGCGCTGCTCGGGCCCCTTTCGGCCCCCTGTCGGGCCCCAGAAAAGACCCCTTTAGGGCCCCCGTATCGCCCCCCGCTCCCCTTCCGCGACGCCCCAGAGGGGGCCGATCGGCGGCCGCTCCGGTCCAGGGGCGGGGCCGCCTCGGCGCGCCGCCCCCCGCGGAAGAGGGGCGGGTCCTGGCTGGCCGTGGTCGCCGTCGTCGCCGTTGTCGTCAACGTGGTCGCCGTCGCCGTCGCCGTCGCCGCCGCCGCCGCCGCCATCGTCGTCGTCGTCGTCGTCGTCGTGGTGGTGGTCGTGGTGGTGGTCGTGGTCGTGGTCGTGGTCGTCGAGGTGGGGGAGGGGGAGGAGGGTGGAGGATCGAGGTTATGGGCTCCACGGGTGGCTCTACCATGTTCGGGAAGTTCTAGGGGCGGAGGAATCAGTTGTGAGTGTCTGATGGTGTTTTTGGTGCTTACGGGATTCGATGAAGAATGAGGATGAGGAGGACGAGGGGTCAGGATGATGAGGGGGGGAGGGGGAGGAGGAGGAGGAGGAGGAGGAGGAGGAGGAGGAGGAGGAGGAGGATCAGGAGGAAGGAGAGAGGATGAGAGGGGGAGGGGGCAAGCGAAGTGCGCTCGCGCCACATACATCCGACATCCTACCCCTCCAGCCCATCCCTTCCCATTGCGCTTGACTCTCTCTTCCATCCACCAGGTGGTGCGATCGCGTGGTACGCAGCAGGAATTGGGGCTTTGTGCATGCCTTGGAGGGGGGAATCAACAGCAGGAGGAGCAGGATCAGCAGAACGAGCGAGAGGACCAGGGGGAGGCGGATGAGGGGCAAAGAGGGGTGCGGCAACGACGACGGGGGAAACGGGTCCAGAGATGTGGCCCGCACTGGAGCGAGAGCGCCAGTCATGTTTGGAGCGCCAAGGTTGGCTCGATCGAGACAAAGCATAGAGAACCGAATGTGTTACAATTACGTGTGTGTGTGTGGGTGGGTGGGTGGGTGGGTGGGTAGGTGGGTTGGGGGGGGGGCGGGGGTCGGGGGGGGGAATCGGCACGCGACAGAGGTGGGAGAACGCTGGCGAAAGAAGATCAGGGGAGAGGGGAGGGCAGCACCGAACTCTCAATGCTGCGCCCTTGTCGAGAGGGGCGGGGACAGCGAGAGGGCGAGGAGAGCGGGAGGACGAGCACGAGGGGAAGGGCCGGGGGAGGGGCACAGCGAGGAGAGGTCCTGGACGGCCACGGGCAGGCACATGCCGCACAGGTAGAAGTTGCACGCCCTGCAGTCCATGACCTGGCTGGCGGCGAGCCAGAAGCCACGATGAGGTGACCAAGATTCTCGTCCACTCCTTTTCCTTATAAATAACATTCCCATGTCGCACCCCAGGCCAGTTCTTAGGGCGGGCCGAACGTTTCGCCCGACACTTCCTCAACATTTGTGACCCTTGTGACCCTGAAGCTTACAGAAAGGCAACAGTTTCACATATGGAGGGCGGGCGGTTTTCAAAATGTTGCTCTCGCCTTAGCGCCGCGCACATTCGTTTACTTTGAAGATGGCAAGAGTTTCACGGATTGAGGGCGGTTCCTTTTCAAAATGTGGCTCTTGCCTTAGCGCCGCGACCATTCGCTTTAAACATTTGCAAGAGCTTCACGGATTGAGGGCGAGTGGTTTTCAAAATGTGGTTCTCGCCTTAGCGCCGCGCACATTCGTTTAAAACATGTGCCAGAGTTTTACTGATTGAGAGCGGGCCGTTTTCAACATGTGGCTCTTGTCTTAGCGTCGCGCACATTCGTTTAAAACATGTGCCAGAGTTTTACTGATTGAGAGCGGGCCGTTTTCAACATGTGGCTCTTGTCTTAGCGTCGCGCACATTCGTTTTTATACATATGTATGTAACAAAAACCTTGCATCAGCTTCACGGATTGAGGGCGGCTCCTCTTCAACATGTGGCTCTCGCTCTAGCGCCGCGCACATTCGTGCCAAACATTTGCAAGAGTTTCACGGGTTCCCATGATCAGCGTACCAGAAATGGTGTTTTGGAAAGATTCTTGGTGATGCGGGTGCAACAGTTCTGTAGATTCGCGGTGTTGAAGTCCCCACAATGGCGTTCTGACACGATTCCAGATCGTCAGGGCGCAACAGTCGGGTTGACCCGTGGCGTGGAATTCCCGAGAACAATGGTTTGGCATGCTTCAGAGTCTTCAAACGGTTGTCTTCCAACGAGGCAGTTCCCTCAATGGAAATGAACCGTTGTAGGGGCCTATGAAGAGGAAGCTTGGAGGGTTGGTTAATTCCAACATCGTTGATAACTCTTGGGTTTACACTGGTCTTCATCCTCCTCCTCCTCGTCGTCCTCCTCCTCCTTTCCTCCTCCTCCTCCCCCTCCTCCCCCCCCCCTCCTCCTCCTCCCCCTCGTCCTCCCCCTCCTCCTCTTCATCATCCTCCCCCTCCCCCTCCTTCTCCTCTTCCTTCTCCTTCTCCTCCTTCATCCCCCTCCTCCTTCCCGTCGTCCTCCCCTCTCCCCCTCCTCCTTCCCCTCGTCCTCCCCCTCCTTCCTCTCCCCCATCTCCCCCTCCTTCTCCTCCTCCTCCTCCTTCCAGACCTCCTTCGCCACGACACAACGAACAAGAAAACTGTTCGGCATCTCGCCCCTTGTCCTCGCCATCGCAGACAACCTCGACGCACGGCCTCACAACCATCCTGTACTCCCCCAGACCTCAAGCAACAACACCAGATACTTACCTCGAGTTATGTTGCTCCCATCGTACTTTAGAACCACATCCCAAAATACTTTCGAACATCCAGAAAACATCGAAACAATGTCGAGCGAGCATCGCCTCCCAAGGCCCGACGCGTGAAAACCTTCCAGTTTCGGTACGATCCGTGAGGGCCCTTAGTCGTGGGCGAAAAACACATGTGTGCGTGTCTCTCTCTCTCTCTCTATATATATATATATATAGACACATACTCCTCTTCCTATATTTGTATAAGCCCGGGCGGGGGGAAAACCCGTCCCCCCCAAAAAACTGACTCCCAGGATCTGGGGCTTTGGGATCCTCCGGACGGGCCTCGAAGCGGCCACCAGGCCTCGCAGGGCGCTTTGCTAAGCCTTCCCGGCACACCTAGGGCGTTCAGGGGGGTCATCGGAGATGTCTCAGAGACCCCCAAGACAGCACAAGAGCGCTCCAAGAGTGACCGACCTGACCTCAAGATGGCCCGAGAGGCCTCCAGGACGGCCCCAAAGAGGCCTCCAAGAGCACTCCCAAGAAGGCCCCCCGAGGCAAGAATCATTGATTAGTTGTTGGTTTTTGGTGAATTTTGGGATTCTCCTCTTTTCGGCTTCCCGACGCTCCAAGACGGCGGTCTTCTGGGCGTCCGAAGCCGCCTGGGAGGCTCCAAAATCGCCCCACAGCCATCCGAAAGGGCTTCCAGGCAGTCCAAGAGAGCCCCAAAACGGCACAACACGGGTCCAAGATGGCCCTCAGAGAGCCCCGTGGCGGCCCAAGATGGCCCAAAGACACCCTCCGAGGAATTCCAAATCGTGATTCGGTCGTTCAGGGAGACCGCGGTTGGAGGCAGGGTGGCCCGAGGAAGCCCCCGGAGGCCCCCAGAATACGCCCAGGAGGCCTCCAGAAGGCCTTCAGAAAGCCTCAAACAATTTTGGTGAGGCCCCTAGAGGCTCTCCAAGGAAGAGCCTCCGCAAAAAAGAGCTGAAGAGGATGGGGAGAACGCGCAGGGTATGGCGAAAATAAGGACGAAGAAGCATGGAGGAAGGATAACGAATAACATTATTATAGCGGCGATGCTGGAAAAGGCAACCATGAATTATCGCTGAATTGTCGGTTTGGTTTTCCTGCTATTCCGCCTGCATACCAAACTTCAAAGACCAAGGTGCATGGCGCGAAGCGCCACTGCAGCCTTGTATATATGTATATATATATGTATGTATATATATATATATATATATATGTGTGTGTGTGTGTGTGTATCCGTTTCCCTGGCCTCGCGGGCCAGGCCCCTGGGCCGCGGCCCCGCGGGTACGGGGCGTGTTTTTCGCGGATGCCTCGCGCTGAACATATCCGTGCGACCGCGTATTCGCTGGATCGCGCCCTGGGAAGCCAGACCCCGAGGGCGCGGATACGGATATGCTCGCTGCTCGTGACCTTGGACGAGGCGTCAGACGACCGCCACGCTATTGCTCACGATGCCCAGTTCTGCGACTGTTTCTAGAGGCCTCCCAGATGGGGTTCGAGTAGATGAGGATCGCGCCGCATCCCCGATGCATCGGCGATGCGTCTGCGACTCGGGCGATGCATCGGCGACGTTGGCGTGGATGCTCCACATCGAACCGCATTCCCCGAGGCATCGGCGGTGCGGCGCGATCCTCCGACCCCATCTACTCGGACCCCATCTGGGAGGCCTAGACTTTCGGTGCTGACTTCTCGGATCGGCGCTGGGCCCCCCTCCTGGGGCAACGCCTGATGCGCCGCCAGAGGGGCCCAGCGCCGATCCAAGAACTCCGCGCCGAGGTCTGAACGTGCATGCTTGTGCCAGTTTTCCTTCCTTCGTGGATGGACAGACCCCCCTTTAGTAAAACGTGGTTTAGTGAAAACGACCTGAGGCCCAAACCTGGCGGGCGCAAGCCTGGAAAAGAACGGCCACGGCGCCATCTCGAGAACCGAAAACGGACAATTCACTCATCGACGTGTCACTGTTGGGGGTTCTGTCCACCTCCGATTCCCCGAAGCTCTGCGGCTGTTTCGCTGCCGGGCCTGCTCCCCGTCCAGCACCAGCTTCCGGCACCCGTTGCAGGAGCCCGCCAGGGCCGCGCAGGGCCGCAGCGGGTGGCCCCGCAGACAGGTCACGGCGCCCAGCACGGCATGCCCGCACCCCGACATGGCGCCCCCCCTAGCGAGCTGGCCTGCGGCAGGCTCGCGTCGTGACGACCTCGGCGTTGGTTTCTGACACCGCGCGAATCGTTCGGCCTTTTGGCCGGCCGGCCTGCGGCGCGTTTAGTAGCTAATTAGGCCGCTTCCGTGTCCCGGAACGCTTCTGACTCCGCTTGCGCTCTCGCTGGCGGACGCGACCGAAAAAGAATCGTTCGGCCTCGTACGATCGACGGCTGCTCGATCGCCCGATCGTTCCGCAGTGGCTGGCTCTCGGCTTGAACGCCCGCGGCGGGGTCGCTGCCGCGTCGGCACGGCACGAACCCAGCCTACCGACTCGTGCAGATGGCGGTTCTCCCCGGCAGAGCGGCTGAGATGTGTTAAAAGTATTGCAGATGTCTTGCGCCTGAGCGGTGGGGATATGACGAGTGATGACTGGCACGACTGCACCTCGCTATCGCGGGCCCGCCGCGGGGCTGCGAGCGCCCGCGCCACGCTCGACGACTCGACGACGACGGCGGCGGACGAAGAGCGCCCGAGCCGCCGACTCCGATGCCGATGCCGATGCCGACGCCAACGCCGACGCCGACGCCGCCGGCGACGACGACGACGACGAGGACGAAGACGACGACAAGGACGACGACGACGACGACAGCAGAGGCGACGGCGGCGGCAGCGGCGGCGGCGGGGCCTGAGGGGCTCTAACGTTTTTCGTCTTCGCGGGCATCCCGGAGAGCCCTCGTCCCCACAGCCGTGTCCCCCTTGGAGGCCTGGTCGGAGAGCGAGGCCTGGGGGTCGATTTTTGATAAGGGGGCGCGATGAACCATGGTTGGCGTGCCAGAGCATCGAGACCTCCTCGCCTCCTCCGGGGGGAGAAGGGGTGCCGGGCAACTGGAGGAGAAGGAGTTGAAGGAAGAAGCGGAGGAAGAGGGGGAGGGGGAGGGGGAGGGGGAGGAGGAGGAGGAGGAGGAGGAGGAGGAGGAGGAGGAGGAGGAGGAGGAGGAGGAGGTGGAGGAGGATGATGAAGATGGCTGTGCAATTGGTGGTTGGCGTGCCAGAGTATCGACTTCCGGGGAGGAGCAGGAGGAGGTGCCAAGCAACTGGAGGAAGAGGATGGTATTGAATATTTGCTGTTTGCCCACGGTGCATATTTGTAACTGCGTGGCTGGGCCGTCTCGCCATCGCCAGGCGGAGAGCCATTCATGCCGGACGGGGCACTTGGCCCTCATGGCCCACGTGCCCGTTCGAAGACGGTGCGCTAGACCTCCATCGCTCGAGGACGGGGTAGTTGGGCCTGCACCGTCCACTTGAATAACGACAGGCTGCTCGAACAGCACCACGAGGGAGGACCTCGGCGACCGAATGTGGGAACCGGCCCGTCCTGGTAATACAGCAGCCATAAGAAGATTTTCTGGCAGCAATAGTAGCTCATCCAGTGCTGTCGCTGAAGGGTCTGGTACTGAGTTTGTATACATTCGGCCCTGATTGTCGCCGAATTCCTAGGATCGGCCCTGTCCCCGACTGTCCCCAGCGTGGCACCGTGTCCTGCTTATCGCCGATCTCCTTGGTTCGGCCCTGCCCCCCACTGTCCCCAGCTTGCCAACCGACGGGTGCTGCTGATATTGGTTCGACCCCATCGCCGACCTGGTCCGGCATCTTGGTCGTCGGAGGTTTTCTTGGTTCGGCCCTGTCGCCATCTGTCCATGCCTCGGTCCCAAAGGCCATCCCAAGATGGCTCTTCGACCTGCACAAACTGCCCAGCGACGGTTCTACCGAGCCCCCTCTCGGTAAAACCAGGCGGCGCCTGGGACGGCCCCAGATCCCCATCAGAACGACTGATTCCCTAGAAGCCTACAAGAGGCGCCCAAGAAACCCAAAGAAACCACGAAGAGGCCCCCCCGAAGCTCAGAAGAAACATCCAATCAGGCTCCGATAGGCAGCGAAACAACCCCGCAAAGTTAAGAACACGCCACGCTGCAGCATCGTAGCGCAGCGTCACAAAGGGCCCTGGTATGGTTCGCCTGGTCTTTTCTGGGATAGCTCTGCAGGACCATCGCGCCAACTATTGCCTGATATCGAACAAGGAACAATTGCATAAGCATGAACTTTCCGAGCTCCGCGCGGATGTCTTGGATCGGCGCTGGGTCCTCAGAGAGGGGAGTCCAACTCAGATCCAATAATTCCGTGCGGAATTGCAATGCTTTATGTTTATGCAGCTGTTTCTTCTCTGTGAGGGTGCCAACTGGGTCATATGGACCCGCAGAACAATCGTTCTACCAAATTTCCTGGGGATAGATCCGTGTGGCCGAATTGCATGGTTCGAACCTGCGCTGGCACAGAGGCGAATCATGCTGCAGGTGGATGGAGTAGATACGGTTTGGAGGATATCTGAATGTCGCCTTGCAGAAAATTCACCAAATGTTGTCCACCGCCGCGACAAAATTCAAAATCGATCAGACAACCATCCGAAGGAATGTTCTTGTGCAAGAGAATCCCAACACGGCCCCAAACATCTGCAAGAGTTCCAAATATTAGCAGAAGCTTCCAAGAGGACCGCCAGGAGAGCCCGCAGATACCACAAGTGTGCCTTTGCCACATGTGTTTGAAGAATTCTCACGGTTGCTCATTTTTGCGGGCCTCCGGCGGCCCAATACGCCCCCACGAGGGATACATATGGCCCCAACGCAGCCCAAGAGGCTCCCAAGACGGCCCCAAAATGGCCCAAGAGAGCCCCAAGACGCCAAATATTGCCTTCACGCCTCCAAGGCGGCCAAGATGGCACCAAGTCGGTCCAATAAGCCCCCTAAGAGGCTTCCAAGACAGCCCACGGGGCATCCAAGATCACCCCCAGGAGGATAGATGCAAACATGCGTTGTTCGTCCAGACCTTTTTGAAAGGGATCAGCGTTTGCCTCTTCTCGTGCCTTCGACGGCCCAAGATGGCCCCACAGGTCCCCAAGATAGCGCCAAGACAGGCCCAATAAGCCCGCAAGAGGACACCTACAGGGCCAACAAGGCCCCAAGACGGCCAACAGGGCCCCCAAAGACCACCAGGACTGCCCCAAGAAGGCCCCAAGACGGGCTCGAACGCGTCCTCCAAGAGGGCCCTCATGACGGCCCAGTGAGGTCCCAAACAAACCCCGTATAGCTCCCAGAAGCTCTCCAGAGGCCCCCAACGGGCCCCCAGGAGGCCCTCAACCAAAGAGAACCTCAACAAGAGGCCCTCAAAAGGCCTTCCCTTCCAGCGCTACAACCTGAGGCGCATCAGAAAGTGCACTCTGACCCAGGGCTGGCCGTCACTCGACCTGAGGAGAGCGACCACAGGCCTCCTCTCCGCAGTGGCTGGGCGTCTTACACGCATGCCGAAACGACAACATACAAAGCTGCCAAATTATGATGCGCCTGGCCAGCTCTTTAGTCCTGTGGGCAGCAGCCATCTGTCGATCTGACTAGGAGTGTGCAGGTCGTCTTGGCTCAGACGTGGAACACATAGCCTAGCAAACTTGACAAACTTCTCAACTCCTTCACGTGGACAAAGCCCTGTCCAACACGGCCGACATGGCCCTAAGATAGCACAGCGTGATTTCCAAGACGGCCGAATACGGTCCCAAGTGGCCTCCAAGGCTGACCGACGAGATCCCAAGACGGCCGGAAAAAGGCTCACACAAAGCCCCAAGAGGGCTCCTAAAGCTTCCCCGAGGAATGCCCGAGGAGGCAATTCAGCATTTGACCGGGTCCGTTTTTCTAACATTCGCGTCGCAACCGTTTCGGGGCCCCGACAGCCCAGGACGGCCCAAGACGCCCCCCGTGATCCCCCAAGGCTGACCAGATAGGGGTCCCCAGGGCTGTCTCTGGAGGCGCGGCACGAAGCATGAGGGCCCGTAAGACGGCCCAGAGAGAGACAGACCCAAGACAGCCAACAGGGCCCCCCGACGACGACAGAGCCCCTCGACGGCCTCAAGGGGCCCAGAGAGGTGAACGAGGCAGCCCAGGCAGGCCCCAAAGAGTGTTTCCGAAGGCGCGACACGAACTAAGAGGGCCCTTAAGAACGGCCAGGAGACCAACCCAGTCCAGCCCAACAGGGCTCCTGGACGACCCGACTGGGTCCCTCCACGACCCCACAGGGCCCACAGAGGTGCACGAGACAGTCCAGACAGGCCCCCAAGGGTGTTTCCGAAGGCGCAACACGAAACAAGAGGGCCCCTAAAAAGGGCCAAGAGACCAACCCAAGACATCCCGACCGGGCCCCCCGACGGCCTAAGAGAGTCCCACGACGGCCCCAAAGAGCCCAAGGAACTGCACGAGACAGCCCAAGCTGGCCCCCAAGATTGTTTCCGAAGGCGCGCCACGAACCAAGAGGACTCCTAAGACGGCCCAAGAGATCAATCCAAGACTGTCCGACATGGCCCCCCGACGACCCAAGAGAGGCCTACGACCGCCCCAAAGAGCCCAAAGAGGTGCACGAGACAGCTCGGGCAGGCCCCCACAAACGGTCCCCGCAGGCGCCCAAACCGGCCCGAGATCAACCCAATACGGCCCAAGAAACCCCATGTATCCCAAAAGGGTTCCAAGAGGCCTTCCTTCAGCAAGGCCCACATTTTTCGAGGAGGCCTCAAGAGAAGGCCCAAGATGACCCCCGATGTAGGCAAGCGCGTTCCACTTTGCGAGCAGGCACTTTGCGATTAATGTCAGCCTGTGATTCACAAAACCGTAGGGGGGAGCGCGTTTTGAACATAGTTTCCGTGCTCGGGCAAATCGCGGGGTGGCGCCCGCCAGATTGAAAATCGACGGCGGCGCCGGTGATTAGCGCCGACACTCAGCCGCCAGCGGGAAGGCGACATATAGCACAGACTGGGGGGTGGGAGGGGGGCGGGAGGCAAAGGCGGCAGAAGCAGGGAGCGTGAGCCAAGGCGAGACCTTCTCGAAATCCCACCAGCCCTCTGGGCGTAGGTGGTTTAGGGAGTTTCCTCTTCCATCTTCCCTTCTTCCCCTTCGGGGAGGGGTTTACCCCTT